CACTCCACTCCTCCCTCCTGCTCCCCCATTCAGTGTGCAAGCTCTCGCACATAAAGAAATGTTTATTTCCTATATTGTTTTGACCTTATGATAATTATTACCTTTATTTATTTTTGTACATTCTGTATGTAGGATTGTGTGTGCATGTAACTAAATAAAATATTATGAAGAAAGTTACGTATAGTATACAGCATGTAACCAAAATTACGAGTTGAATAATAACCATAACATAGCTCACAGCTCAGGAAGGTAGGGAGAGGGATAGGGGGATATTGTTTCAGTAGTGATTCTAACTTTAACAAAAATGCCACCAGCGATGTTAACTGATGCAAAGGTATTTTCAGATTTAAAGTGGCATATATAGTGAATGAGGTTCTATTCTTAATGTAGCAACAAAAATATATCTAGGGTAGCTATTGTTCACCATAAATGACCCACGAAAATGATGAATATTATTACATATCCAGAACTTATAATTACCTACTCTTACTGTACAGTATTCTGGTACATACAGTTGTACCCCACTTAACGCGGTCAATTGAACCCAGAGGGTCCCGCGCTAAGTGAACAACAGAACATATGGGATTAATTCCAATAGAACCCAGCCCGACCCCCAAACTCCACTTTTTGACGACACATAACTATGTTGTAGTAAAAATTCTATCTTAACTTTATGATGGTATGAAAAAACAAGTAATATAGAAGAGGTTAGGTTAGGAAAGATAAAGGTTAACATAGGAAAAATAAAGAATAGGTTAAAAAACGAAAAATTTTGTGGAACACTTACGGTAGTAGAAGAGATGGGTCGGCATACGGGGATGGAGGCTGGTTCCGAGGCAGAGGGCAGATTACTGGCCCTCAGGTGAATCACCATTACTAGGTGAATCAACATCACTGTCACTTACAGTTGTCAGGGCTTCCCTGACAAATCCCTCAAAGTCAACTTCACTTTCACTATCACTGGCTTGGGCTGGCTGTGGTGGGTTGCGGGCGAAGAACTCGGTTATGCTTTGCTGACGGCTGGTGTTGATGTTGTCGTGATACACCTTGATGTACGGCTCCATAGCCTGCACCAGTCGGGTATGGAAGACTTCATAGCGTTCATCGTCATTGTCGCGGGAAAGGACGGACTTAATTTTTTCTGTAAACTCTATGACACACTTAATATCACTATGACTTAAACTAGGTTCTTCGGAGAATGACGCACCTTCTTCCTCCTCTTCACTGGCGTGTTCTTCTTCCAACATCTCGTCGGCAGTCACTTCAGGATCTTTGATCACCTCCAGGATGTCTTCGTTGGTGGTCTCGGAGAAGCCTTCAGCTGTAATATTGAGCGCAGCTTCTCTGGCAAGGTCCACTGCTACTGCAACAGTCTGAACCTCACCAGTCACAGGTTCACTCCTCCTCTCACCTGGTATGCCATGCAACACATGTCTCCATGCGTGACGAATCGTAGCAATAGTCAGCAGATCCCATGCCTCCACCAAGAAGTCTACAGCTTGTTTAACGTTAAACTTCTTCCAAAATTGTTTGACGAGAAGTTCTTGAGTCACCGCCTCTTGTTCCTTGTCCTCGTCGCTTTTGCTCTCGCTGTCGGTGTCACCCAGCTTACGCAACTCATCCTTGGTGTTGGTAGAGTCGTTCAGGAGCTTGAACTTCTTTGCAGAGTACGCAGCTTTCACATTGCAGATCAACTCCTGGTCCATGGGCTGGATTAATGACGTAGTGTTGGGAGGAAGGAAGACCACTTTTACGTTGGGGTGACGATCCATAAGTAGGGGCGAGTGTCCAGGTGCGTTGTCAAGGAGCAACAAAATATTGAATGGAACATTCTGTTGCTCGCAGAATTTCTTCACGTCGGGAACAAAACAGTTGTCAAACCAGAAGAGGGACAGAGAAGAGGACATCCACGCCTTACGTGCGGTTAGCCAGTGGACATTAAGCTTGTTCATGTCCATATTCTTGTAGGCGTGCGGCTTGCGGGCTGTGTGAATCACCGATAACTTTGGTTTACAGGTACCGGAGGCATTGGTGGTAAACAGGACGGTGATGCGTTCCTTCTGCAACTTCCGACCCCTTACCTTGCTGGCAGACTGGACAACGAAGGTCTTGGAAGGTAACTTTTTCCAGAAAAGACCAGATTCGTCCATGTTAAACACCTGGTCGTCACTGTACTGTCCTTCCTCCATAATCTCACGTAAAAACGGAGGAAAATCTCTAGCCGCCACACGGTCAGCACTCGCTTCCTCACCACCAATGTTGATGTTGGTGATCTTGTTCCTCTTCTTAAACCTATGCAGCCAACCAGAGGAAGCATTGAAGGGTTTGGGCTCTGCAATTCCCAGTTTACGTGTCACTGCTGCGTATAGCTCACGTGCGTACTCCTGCACTGAGCGCGTGTCCACCGCCATGTTGCGTCGCGCCTGACGCACCAAATAACTCACCAGCAAATTTTCCACTTTTGCCAGCACCCTGTTCTGGCAATACCTGATAGATGAAGCACCTGCAGACTTTGTGATTTTCATGTGCTCTTTGATCTTGGCTGCATCCTTCTTGATCGTACGAATCGTAGATTCGTTGACGCCATGCTGGCGCGCGAGATCAACTTGCCGTCTTCCTTTCTCCAAATCTTGAACAATTTGGTACTTCACCTCGTAGCTTAATGAACGTCGTGTCTTCTTTGGCTTAGTGCCGCTGGGTCCAGGTAAGGAAAGGTCTCTCTCTGGGGGCGGTGGTGGTCCGGCGGAAGCCATTTTACGGAACAATGGATGCGCGTTAACCCGGGGTGGCCTTGAGGGATGAAACTGCCGCGGCTAGGTCAAGCGTCGTCTCTCCTCCCTCCCTCCCTCCCTCCCCGGGGTGGTCACGTCATAATACTTTAAGCCAATTACAGCTAGCAGCAGAGGGGGGTAGGGATGCATGGCCAATCACAGTCCGATACGTCATATGACGTCAGTGATAACGCAACAAAGACACACACTGCGCAACCTTACCGCGCGGCTTGCCCAAGCGGAGGGAGGAGGAGGGAGAGGCAGGCGGGTGGGCGGGTGGCGCGTGGGCAAAATCTAAAAATAGCATCTCGAGACGGACACTCACCGCGTATATGTGGAAAAAATCCGTGTTAAGTGAAAGTTCAGCTCTGGCAAGGCACCGCGTATATGCAAAAACGCGCTAAGTGAAACCGCGTTAGGCGGGGTAATACTGTACTGTATTTACCGGTACAGGTACAAAAATCTAGTATTTTTCTCTTGGAAAAAAAAATACAATTGGCTTCAATACATGTACAATACAGTATTATGAGTTGTATTTTTTCAAAATTTATTCATGTACCGGGTAATACTGTATAGGGATGCATTTTATATGGCCGGCAAATACTGTATAATCCTCTCACGACAAATTATGAGCCCTATCTTTCCAATGTTGTTTGAGGTAGGAAACAGAAGTACTGTACTTGATTTCTTATTGTGTTTGATGTTTTGATACGACTATCTGTGCTTTAATTGGTCCAGCTAATTAGTTTATATTTTATACGTAGAAAACAAGGAATAATACTAAAGGAAAGAGATACAGTTTCTGTGATTTAAGACAGACTGTATAGCATGACATTACTTCTGTTGTGTTACTGCCGGTGTAAAGTACAGCAACAAGGATGGCAATCATCAGTTGGCCCATATAAAGAAACTCTCACCTTTGACAAAAAGTAAAAACAAAAAATTGGGGATTTATTGTGGAAGGATACTACTATAGTAAGACATTTTAACAGAAATAAAATAAATGATTGAAAGATAAATTTACACAATGCACCTGTATAATGTGTGGGTGTGTATGTATGTGTACACTGCCCCATGGCTTAACGCAGGATTGTTCAACGTGCATTTGCTCGACACGATTTTTTATTACTACCCGGTATTGCTTAACACGGGGCGGAGATTCGCTTGAACGAGGGTCGAGCTGGGCTAACACAGAAAAATTCTGCTGAACGTAGTTAGCTAGAAAACGTTTTATGCAGGCCAGCAGTAGAGTCCATTACAGTCCACTGGTAGCATCACCATGCCATTTGGGGTCAGAATTTAGCTAGTGCTTGGTTCAGCCACAAACAAAAACTTCACTTGGATTAACTTCCTTTTTTCGCTTGCTATCACCACCAACCAACATCCTACACCACCATTATTTTTCATACCCTTCATATGTGAATACATTAAAAGTACTGTATGATTATTATTATTATTTAGATGTAAACACAATCCCTATGTTAAGTGAGGGGACAGTGTATTTGTTCGTTTCCAACCACCTTGCATCAAGTATTTTAGGCATAAATAAAAATTACAAAATGCTGTATAGTTCCTCTCAACCTGTATTATAGTGCAGGAGGGGTCATATGGGAAGACTAGCAAGCTTTTTCCAAGAGGATGGCCACACATTGTCATCCCACTTGGACGATCATCTGTTTTATGAGATTTTTACCATCTTGGTTAAAAGATAGGTTAGATGAGATTAGGTTATGTTAAATAGCATAAAATAGACAGTCGTTCAAGTGAATGTAATCGACCAGACAGGTGCTGATCCCTTGATTCTTATCATTCACCAGCCAGTAGTTTACTTCATAACCATCGTTAGGATGTTACCTCACAAAAGAGTTATTCCAACAACAGCCAACACCACCAGTAACAGTCATTTTAATGGTGAATATTAAAGGGTTAATGTAGGAGGAGGGAACCCAGTCCTGCATACTAGTGGTATATGTGTATAGAAAATTAAACAAGCTGAATAATTGTAACATTAAAAAAATATATATATTTCTTGTTGTTGAGATGTAATTTCATATATACAAACAAAATAAGAAATAAATGAATAAATTTAAAAAATAATATTAGTATGCTTGAATTAACTTTTTGTAGATCAAAATTGCTAAACTTATCTATTCAGAAATGGTAACTAAATTTCCATTAGGTTTGCTCTTCACACACACACACACACACACTGTATAAGTTAAACACCCGTTGGGAAGATAATTTTACTTTGGTTTGTACAGTTATCGTTACAACAAGCAAAAGGAAACATTACCCCCAGAAAATAATACAACATAGTTAACAATACCAAGGCTTACGAGTCCAAACTTGAAGCAGATTGTTTGAGAAGCTGTTGTGGTACAAAGAAACATAGGCCTACTAATAATAATAATAATAATAATAATGTAATAATAATAGTACAGGACCTTCTAGGGACAACATCCCAAGACAGTGTGTGGTGATAAGTAATGGGTTGAGATAAATGTACGTACTTAAAATAATCTCAAACTAAGAATGCGGTGAAAATCTAAAATTTAGAATACCGAATATGTATCAGTTTTGAAATTTTACTTGCAGTGCACCATCACCCAAATGCAGTGAATATAATGTAGTAAACAGTACAGTAAACTAACACAAATTTGTTTCATATTAAAAGCATAAAGACTTAATCCTTCTCAAGAATATAATAGCCTTAGATATATAAAAAAAACTAAGATACTAAAATTAACAAAAGGTGATAATATCACCTCAAAATAATGTGTTGTCAGTCAGCTCAAATATGGTCCAGAAACAAAAGTAATAATGGTAGTGACGATAAACTACAAAAAGGCAAAGCCATTTGGCCGTCTCTGTCGCGTCATACCTCATCATTTAAAAATAAGTTTGTTTCTTCAATATACAGTAAAAGCTCCACAAGTTAAACTCTCTTGTTCATATATTTCAATTGACATTCATTAGTATAGGTCAAAATCTCGTCTGTTTCTCCAACTCTAGTGAAGTTCATGTGCTTCAAGAGGGATGGCAAACTCACTGCAAAAATAAACTCCTTGTGCAAGTTATTGAAATGAAACACCAAAATAAATTGGTCCCAGTTAGTAATTGTTTTATTCTTTTGCAGTGATATTAAATTAAGTATCAGCAACTGGTGACCTGACTCTCATTAGTGAGAGCCAGACCAACATGCAGAATTCACCAAATATTTTGAGCACTGGTTCTGAGTTCTGTTGACTAATAAAATGGTCAACAGTCAAATCCTTGGTGAAGACTTCACATGGGTCACCTTGTTGCTGTTACAGAGATAAAAGGTGTACAAGATACAGTATATATATTATTATTCTTAGTGTCTTTACATTGAGAGTATGGCAGCTTCTGAGCTTGGAGTGTTGTTGATTGGCACTGATGACACGTCTCTTTGGCATTTTGAAGATACATAATTTCTGTGTTTTTCTGCAAAAGACAAGAAAAATTATAAATAAATCAGTTTATTTATACTTCAACAGTAAAATAACTGATTTACTTAACAAATACAAATTACAAATGATTAAAAGTATGTTCAACAAATGACTACACTGCATTCTCATTTCTCGTGGTCTAATTAACAATCTCTCTTGTTTTCTCTCTATCAAAGTTTACTTCTCATGTGACATACTGTATTGGGATGCTTTCCTGGACCCAGAAATTATTGCATGTCCCATAAATATATTTTTCTCTGGTCTTTGCACACACTGGTGTTCATGAGTCATTGTGTTTGCACAGCTTCCTGTTCCTCCTTTTTTCTCATTCCTTGCTGTTCACTCAGTTAGAAATGAGAATTACTTTAAACCTCAATAAAAATGGCTGTAGGTATAGAAAACTACAAAATAATCAAGAAAACTTATTGGAAAGTGTTATATGAGTACCGGTATGTAAGTAACCATAAAATTTTCCTTATGAATAGAGAGAGAACTGTATACTGTACAGTACTATAAACATCAGTATAAGTAAACTGTATCAGTTAAAGTTATGTACATCTCTTGTTACATTAAAAAAGAACAGAGAATTTACAGAGACCTTCCCAAGGTAGTTTGATTATGAACCATGTTCACAGCCATAAAAATAGTAGCCTCCACAAAAATACCTGAAGCTTATGGTGAAAAGCTTAACATGTTTCACCTGAAGCCAACACCACTCACCTGGACTGAGTATAAAGATCAAATGAACAGCACAACACATTAGTTTACATGTTTAAATAAGGTCTTACCTACAAAACTGTCGATTAATCCCATGTACTTCTGTTCTCCGAGGTACCTCATGATTGTGACATGTGGAACCTGCAGTTCCTGAGGAATTATGTATTTGGTGACTGGGGAAACTTGCGCCTGTGCACATATAACTGGTTGCATGTCCGGGTATAAAGAAACTTGATCAGCCATACTGAAAGAATTAAAAGCATTAAGTATTTATTCTTTAAGTATATAAGTATAAACTCTATACAGTACAGCATTTAATCTGCATGTGTAAATGCTGCTTTTATATGTTTGGCTAGAAATATAAATACACCTGTACTGTAATTGCAATTGACCCCATTAAATAAGTTCTACATAAATGGACATATGTTGTGTAGATGTCATGGGTATCTTGGGTATATTTACCACGGTTCAACTTTATCACTGGATGGAAATTTAAGAGGACATTTTTGTGGCAGTAAGACAATAGTAGACAGTCCTCAATTAACAATGACTCTCTATACACAAAAAATCCAAAGTCACAATTATTATTTTTTCACCGTGGCATTAGAAGATGCTGAAATGCTAGTACAGACACCACAGGGCTTCGTGTACCAGACCTGAGCAGTTTATAAGAACAAACTAAACAACATATGGTACTGTACTGTTCTTTGCTGTGATAAAGTAAGTCAGAAATAAAAAACAGTAATTTTTCAGTTATCATGGTTCACAGGATCACTATGAGAGAACACTGATAAGTTAGTATGATCTGATATCAATAGAGAGAATAAAATGTGAAATGGATAAGTTCAACATTTCCTCTTCAGATAAAACCTCAACTAAAATCAAATCCAGTGAAAGCATCTCAACATGTATACTGTATATATGTACAGTACAGTATGAAGTATTCATTGTTGGTGCGTCACTACCAATTTAAGACCATAATCACGTCTTGGCTGGGCCTCACAACCCGTGGTACAGTTTCTCTCCAACTTGTGTGCCCTCCACTGTGTCTATTTCACTTATGTATTATTTTGCCTTATGGTCACCCACTAGAAGCGGTCATACTAAGGGAAGGAGGTCAGTGGCCTCTCTTGTTCTTGATAATTTTGTCAAGGGTTATTTTGTTGACCTATAATCATTGTGTGCACCCAAATTTCCATTAAATATATTTTGTATCGTTTAAGACATTTTGGGAATTTTTTTTTCCATAGATATGTGTGGTGTTGCACTTGTGAAAAAACATGGTGATGATGATAGGGGTGAGAGTAACAGGGGTGGCTGTGTTGATAGTGATAGGGGTGGTTGTGTTGATAGTGATAGGGGTGGCTGTGTTGATAGTGATAGGGGTGGCTGTGTTGATAGTGATAGGGGTGGTTGTGTTGATAGTGATAGGGGTGGCTGTGTTGATAGTGATAGGGGTGGCTGTGTTGATAGTGATAGGGGTGGTTGTGTTGATAGTGATAGGGGTGGTTGTGTTGATAGTGATAGGGGTGGCTGTGTTGATAGTGATAGGGGTGGCTGTGTTGATAGTGATAGGGTGGCTGTGTTGATAGTGATAGTGGCTGTGTTGATGAAGATAAAGTGGTTGTGTTGATAGTGATAGGGTGGTTGTGTTGATAGTGATAGGGGTGGTTGTGTTGATAGTGATAGGGTGGTTGTGTTGATGGTGATAGGGTGGCTGCTGATAGTGATAGGGATGGTTGTGTTGATAGCAGGGGTGGTTGTGGTTGGATAGTGACAGGGGTGGTTGTGTTGAGGTGATAGGGGTACGTGTTGAGGTGATAGGGTGGCTGTGGGCGCTGATAGTGATAGGGGTGGTTGTGTTGATAGTGATAGGGGTGTGGTTAAAGGATAGTGATAGGGTGGTTGTGTTGATAAAGATAGGGTGGTTGTGTTGATAGTGAGGGGTGGTTGTGTTGATAGTGATAGGGGTGGTTGTGTTGATAGTGATAGGGTGGCTAAAGGATAGTGATAGGGTGGCTGTGTTGATAGTGATAGGGTGGCTGTGTTGATAGTGATAGGGTGGCTGTGTTGATAGTGATAGGGTGGCTGCTGATAAGTGATAGGGTGGTTGTGCTGATAGTGATAGGGTGCATGTTGATAGTGATAGGGTGGCTGCAAGGATAGTGACAGGGGTGGTTGTGTTGATAGTGATAGGGGTGGCTGTGTTGATAGTGATAGGGTGGGCTGTGTTGATAGTGATAGGGTGCTGTGTTGATAGTGATAGGGGTGGTTGTGTTGATAGTGATAGGGGTGGCTGTGTTGATAGTGATAGGGTGGTTGTGTTGATAGTGATAGGGGTGGCTGTGTTGATAGTGATAGGGGTGGTTGTGTTGATAGTGATAGGGTGGTTGTGTTGATAGTGATAGGGGTGGTTGTGTTGATAGTAGGAGGTTGTGTTGATAGTGATAGGGGTGGTTGTGTTGATAGTGATAGGGTGGTTTGTGTTGATAGTGATAGAGGTTGTGTTGATAAGTGATAGGGTGGTTGTGTTGATAGTGATAGGGTGGCTGTGTTGATAGTGATAGGGGTTGTGTTGATAGTGATAGGGGTGGTTGTGTTGATAGTGATAGGGGTGGCTGTGTTGATAGTGATAGGGGTGGCTGTGTTGATAGTGATAGGGGTGGTTGTGTTGATAGTGATAGGGGTGGTTGTGTTGATAGTGATAGGGGTGGTTGTGTTGATAGTGATAGGGGTGGTTGTGTTGATAGTGAAAGAAAAACTGACGATCATTTGTTTGGCTTCATAATGTAAAGACAAAGTACACCCTCAATTTCCCCCTTTAATATCAAGCACCATCCCATAAATTATTCCTCAGCAAAAATAAAGTCTCTGATATTCTTGGCCATTCAAAAACTCTTATCTACTCTCTTCAGTGTTAGCCGCAGCTTTGTACCACCTTCACCTCCTCCTCCTCACTGGTGCTTGGTTGAATTGGTTCCTGCACTTCCTCCTCACTTGTGCTTGGGTCACTCAAGGTGTGCTCCTCTGGTCCAAGTGCTGACCATAACCATGCTAAACCATGAATAAGTGAATCCAGACTGTGCACAAAAGGGTCACAATTACTTGACCGTGTACAAGTGACACATGCACGAAGAGAGAGAGAGAGAGAGTTCAGGAATTAAATGTAATTGCAACAACTGTCTGCTAACCTAACCATTAAATGTTCTTTTGTTGTGTTAGTTACAGTTCTTCACCATCACATACTGTACTGTATAGATTCACTGATACTAAGCTGTTTGGGACTTCTTGTAACAAGACAACCTAAAAATTAGTGATTTCATGAAAATATCAAATTCCAAAGATATCACGTAATATGTGATGATGGCAGTGGTGATAAATTCCTGAATATTTTAGGGTTTACAAAAAACATTTAGTTACATAGATTCCCTGTAATTTAAAAACACATACAGGTATATAAAAGAAAATACAGTAATAAGTACTCCATCAATTAACTGGACTAATTACTACAGAGGTAAACTTTAGAACAATGGAAATTCTGGTACAATATTACAAAGCTTTTACATCAGTAATACACTCCCCCTCCCAGTCCTGTAGAGATATACTCACCTGTGAATAAACAAGGTTGGTGCACGGTATGGAGAAGTTAAGACAAAGTTTTGTGCTTCATTTATACTGGATAAATCCGCAAATTTACAATAAGCCCTGAAAAACAGAGAAAAAAATCTAGTTAAATTTCATGCTTAGACTGATTACAACCACATTAATAAAGAATACTGTAGTTATATAAGGGCAGGTTATTGCACAAGTTGTTTCAAGAAATTTTTTTTATCACTGTTGGCTACTGTAAAATCTCGACCTTGTTGTTAAATGTTTCACGAAATGGACGAGTTCAGGTCGTTATCATTTAAGATCAAGTCTGTTACGGGTATGTTTCTGACCTTAAAATAATTTTATTTATTTTTTTTTTTTGCACTTTCTATATGTAGGATGTTGGGTGCATGTGAGCAAGTAATTAAACCCTAATTACATTAATTCTTATGGGGGAAAATTCCTCATCACCTATGTAAAATTTTTCACTAAAAATCGCATTTCTCTGCAACATATCCTGACGCACAGTATAAACAAGACATATTTTCTGATAGCCCGTACTATGTATCAATTTTACTGTGCATCATAACAATTATTGCAAATTTTTGACATTGCAGTTTGTTCAAATTAGGCTCATCTTGTGTTAACTAAATCATTAACTCTGATCCACATCATTTACATATAATTTTTTTGGTGTTAATAAATTAATTGTTTAACTTTGAAACTGTTAATTATGAACTCATTTTAAAGGAGGGAATACTATATTGTACTCAGTGTTTACTGCCCTGCCATTTGAACCTGATCTTCACCCTCCGTGCTTCGCTGTTATCCCTCGTTTGGCGATAATTTTTCTTAACGTCATATTTTCAGGAACACAACCCCATTGTTAAGTAAGAGATACCTGTCTACATACTGTACAGTGGTCCCTCGGTTAACGAGCAACCTGCTGGAACGGATTGTGCTCGCTAACCGAGGGACCACTGTATAAGCCTTTACACTACTGCACCTGATCCTGCTCATCTTGTTTATATTTGTACTTACCTTACACCAACTTTGGCCAAGGAGCGATAGTTTGGATGGACAGCATTCTGAACCCCTGCTTCGATGCCTACACAATTTGCTGCAATGATTCAACAAATTACAGAATTATAGAATTTCATTGTCGGATGTTTATTCAGATCGTTCATCTAATACATTGTATAAGTCTGTTAAGCATTAAAAGGATATAAATTTGAGTTCATTTTTGGGCCTTGTGTTCATTAATTAAAATTCTGGGATATGATACAAGATTCCGAAAGTCTTAGGAAATTTACACTTAATATACTGTACTGTACTTTCATCACAAAGCCTCATTAAAAAAAATAAATACTTACTGAAACTGTCGTATATTAGATGTGAGATGCGCACCGTGGAGTCACGAGCCGTCATGAGAACCCTTTGAGTAAGGTAGCCACCCACACTCAGACCGTGGATTATGACGTCCTTGTCCTTTTCATTCAAGAAGTCCACCACTCGAGATGCTGTTTGCTGTTTATATCAATAATTTGTTAGATGTCATATCAAAGGTACCTCAATAAAACTACTTAATATAATGTTTACTAAGAAAAATTAAAAGAAAATGGCTTGGTAATCCTTTCAGTTCACTGCACATATGTACCCCATACACTTGGGACCAGAGTCCTTCTCATGTACAGTACTATACGTAAGCTGATGTTTCTCGCCCCGTTTCAAATGGTGTCATCCCACTTGAACGATTCCCACTTGGATGATCATCTGTTTTATGTGATTTTTACCAGCTTTAGTTAAAGGATCTGGTTAGGTTACATTACGTTAGGTTACATTAAATTGCATAAAATAGACGATCATCCAAGTGGGATGTAATCATTTCAAATATCCTGGAACAACCATAAGCCATGTAAGGAAGCTGTATGTTGCCAGCACCAATAATTCACACAAGAAAGTTTGTAGCTGCTCAGTTACCCTGCAAACACTATGGAAGAAGGGTGTTTATCAGAATGCACTTTTGGCAGCCTTGAGAGTGGAGTAATACCCAGGTGTCGGGTGGATGTAAACTTAATGTAAATGTGCTGCTACTTGGGAAGAAATAGACATAATTTCAGTGGAATATAGAGAAGTACAATGGTGATGATGACTGATGATCAGCTCGAGTCTATAAATAGCAAGTCATGCGATGGGCCCAAACCTAACCACCTGTACTGTACACTATATTAAGCCCACAACCATAACAAAGATTGTAATGAGACACAGAACAGCTGCATTAAGTTACATTAACATAGGTAGATGCAGGTAGAGTACAGTAGCTGGTTGGGTCAGTCAGATGACCTGGCTATCATTGTCTCCACTTGTCTTAACCTGTAACCCTTAACTTCCTGTGCTCACACAACCGAGACTTCAATCTCATAATTTTTAATTGTTGTCGGAATACAGTACAGTAGTGTATTACTAACCTTGTTATGCGCTATAAGACCTTCGTTGTCATAATACTATAACAACAACATGTTCACGTTAATCACAGCAAAGTTTTTAGCTGCAATATAATAAAATACCTTCCCAAAATTATGTTTACAGTTAAAATATCTTAAATGCAAGAGGCAGGAAGCAGTGATGTAAATAGAGAATTTGTATTGGTCGGATTGGAGGTCTGGATATGGGCCTGTACAGACTAGCCTTGGCTAAAATTATGGTAATGTAAGTACAGTACCAGCAGGCCTTAGCATATATATATATATATATATATATATATATATATATATATATATATATATATATATATATATATATATATATATATATATATATATATATATATAAAACTCATACAGTACAGTACATAAAAACATACCTGTACAGTATTGTACATGAAACAATACAGTGCACTGTACAGTATTGTACTTAATATTCTAAAAAGGATTTAAACAATATTGCAAATCTGTAAAAATTGGAAATTATAAGAATCGAGAGTTAAAGAATGTTTCATTACAAATACTGTACTGTACAGTAGTCAATGTCCTCATGTTTCTACAGTTTAATGATAAATCAACACAGTTCAAGGATTCCCTTTTATTCCCCAAATGTCATTCACAATAAGAAAACTCTTTCTCTACCTAGTGTGACTGAGATATCTTACCATTCAAGTAGGTCTCCTAGTCACTTGTATAATGTTGCACTAATATAGTACAGTACAGTCCATTAGGTAATCCTCAGTGTCTGAAAATCTGGTAAACAAACATCCACACAATAAGAATATTACAGTATATTTGATGACAATGTTTCGGTCTGTATATCGGCACATCGTCTAACAATGGCCCCCTGTACTACATCCTAAATACTGTAAATGTATATTATCCACGGTAGCTATAATGAACTACCACAAAGAACCCACAGGAAAAAAGATGTATTGTATAGGTATTTCAATTACTGTAAAGTACTGTACTGTACATGTACTATTGGTAAACAAAATAATTTTGATTTAAATCATGATTTTTTTCCACCCAGATTTAAATCACAAGATTTAAATAATTTTATTTATATCATAACAACCCAGCAGGATTGACATTCTATCCTACTTCTTCTTTACCACAGGAATCTTAATACCGTACAATATAGTACTGTACTGTACTTATAAATGTGTAATCAAAAGAACTTCACCCATAACTGGAATAACTATACAAACCTCTGCTCCAGTTCTAGGAAAGAGGAGATCCATCACAGAGGTTGTGACATGCAAGACATCATGTCCTCGGTGTGTCCAGCAATTAGCATACTTGTGGGCGTACTTCTGCTTGGCTCCCAGCCATGTGAAGAGCACTACCATCTCTCTCGGCTGATCAGTCGATACATTTTGACGTCGGTACAATTGAGCATTCTTGAAGCATTCCACAACCTGTAGAACAAGGATTTGTACATTTAAGTCTGAACCAAAACACTTCACATGTAAAAGAAGAAAACATACTAAAACAACATATGTGAGTAGGAATCTTATCCACATACAGGGGGTCTGACTTACAAACGCCCGCTGATACGAATGTGGTTGAACTCAAAATTTACATTACTGTATTTTATTTACCAGATGACTTATTTTTCACTTACATTTACTGTATTTTGTCATTCTATTTCTTCTTTTGTCTTAAATTAAGTGATTTTAGATGTATATAAGGACTTGGGCTGTGATATAGTGGGATTTTAAACATTGTTCTGCAAGTATGGTATGCACATAGCATGTGTTCCAACTTGCATACAAATCCGACTTATGAACGTCCTCAGGAACGGAACCCGTTCGTAGCCCGGGGACCCCCTGTACTGAACATTATGAGGATGAATATATTGTAAAATGATGTCACCAGCAATACATTATCAAAGCACTCCAGTAAATAAGTGAATACCTGCATAGTAATGGCACCAAAGCATTAAATTTAGTGAGATAGCAACCCAGTGTTATTTCAGAAACATTAGTCACCGAGACATGTACAGTATTGAGAGGCAGGGGGGGTCCTTCATCATCAATGTTTTAAGGCAGTTTTCCACAATTGCATGGCTTACTTTACTTCTATCCTCTTCGCCACTGATCGGCTCATTAGCTGCTTGGGCGGTCGGTCACCTCTCTGTTACCCACTGTTGGCAAGTACTGTACTGGGCATGAACTGGCTTCTGAATATATGGGTCTTGAATGAGCTTCACACTCGGTGCCATTGCAACACGGCTGGTGCATTGATTACCTTGACACTTCTTGCTATGCACAATGAACCACATTACAGTATAACATCAACACAGAAATAATATTGTAAGTACAGTACAGTACTGTATAGTATTTGCTTAAGATTCGGAAAAGGTCAACCATGGAACTATATTGATTTGTATAAAGGGAAATTGCCCAAAATAAATATAATACAGCATTGTCGTCGGAAATTTATACTTTTCAAGTTCTTCTGACTTTCAATTTCAGGTTTGGTTCTTTAGGTTCATTTTTTTTTATCTTGTTCGGTTAAGTTAGGTTTACCCAGGGGGTCCAGGAAGGCAGAGCTCCCCTGGCTAGGAGATAGGTAAGATCGTTCTGGTTCTCTGGTTAGGATAGGTTAGAGGTGTACAGTACATTACATCCTGTATTGATATTTGAGAGTCCTTAGGTTACGTTCTTGATGATCTTTTTCTTCGGCCAAAATTCATTTCCTCCACCTGTTTGGGGATGTTTTTCATAAACTGTAGAAATTTTCTTCTTCTGAAAAATTTTCTTAACTCTGCTCCTTACCCCGGAGATCTGTTCTTAAATATAACTATATTTAAAGTTTCCTGAAATAGTCGGGTTAGGTTGTTTCAGGTTGGTTTCGTCATTTTTTTTTGCGTGTTTTCACCGCTTCCCCTACTGGTACTTCAAAGCCCTGCCCACTTTATGATCAAAATTGCATTTTAAAGTACATAAACAAAGTGCAACTAATTTACCCAAGAGTATGTGAACAAAGTGCAGTTTTCTTCCCTGAGAGTATGTAAACAGTGCAGTTCACTTCCCCGAGAGCACGTAAACTAAGTGGAATGTGAGTGTCACAGTGATACACCAAGCGAGAGAACCAAATCCGAAAATTTGTTTCGCCTCAGCTAGTGCCAACTCCAGCAGAAAGGTCTCCTAGGAAAAGCTCAGCCACTAAAAGATTCAGCGAGTCAATACTACCTTAACGTAATTCAATTGTTAATAACTAACTTAGTTAATTTACTAATCTAGCTTACGCGGTTAAAGACCTTAGTTGTTGAAATACAGTATTGTAGTATATTAATATATCAACGGCCTCACAAGATGCCAGCTATACTATACTCGTATACCATCAATTACACATATACTCTACGCTGCTCCACATCGGTCAGTCACTTGGGGTCATTATGAACACCTTATGGTACACGTGGTGTCATCGTGACCCTCCTATCACCCTGAAAATCATTATCAAACACCTTAACCGGTATAAAAGTTATGATACAGATACTAGTTTGAAGAAGAACTGCAATAACTAAGCCCAGTAAAGGAGAGAATAGTATTTTCTTTTAAAAAACTAATTCTTAGTAAGTGTTGTTTACGAATCACGGGCCCGACCCTAACCTTGGGGGGTTCGCTGGAGACGTTTGTGGTGTGTCACAGCTAATTATGGAGGGTGAAGTAATAGATTATTTTGGCCAGTTTGTTGGCGTTGCTTATTGTATGTGTACATCTCTCTCTCTCTATTAAATATACCAATCTAAAACAACATAACAAACGAAAAGATGGACTAACAATCTTGCAAATGGTACCGGAACCAGACCTTAACAACACAACGAGATCAAGAAAAAAAATAGTGGAAGAGAACTTGTGGTTGGCAACAATGACTAAAGCTTCCACGAAATACATTAGAGGATAAATAATCACATCATCTTAATGTCAAAACTGACAACACCGATAAAGTAGGACAGGAAGTAAAAAAAAAAAAACAATTCCTGGAAATGAAGATAAAACAAGTCAAGTTAGTTGGCATCGTAACAGGGATGGGAGATGATGCAATATTTAACGAGACCTACCGGTTGAAGGCAGCTGGCGGGGTGGTGGCGACACAGTACACTGGATCACTCAACTAACCCAACCGTTACCTACCAGATCCTACTAGTCCAAAATTTTTATTAACTGATGACACAAGACAATACTGCACTGTGCCCTGCGATAGCCATAAACCACTGACATTTTGTCTACTTGTAATTCCTACTAAATCGTTTCTTTGTCTACCATTATCCATCTCCTAAGTTACCTAATCCCATCATCAGTCAACAGGAACGCCACTTAAGGATAAGTCTCCCTATCGTGTTCTCGGCTTAAACCCCCCCCCCCTCCACCTCTGTTCTCAGCTTAACACCACCATTCCACCAATATTGTCAGCTTAACACAACCATTCCACCAATATTGTCAGCTTACCTGCCATTTTATTCTTAATTATTTTGTTAAATAAAAATGATACACTGTACAGGTATTCGGAAAATAAAACCAGAATTAACCACACTGTTTCCCTGAAATATCTGAAGTAGGAAAACAAGCTCCACTGGTCTCCAAAACGTAAGAACATTAGAATTTTCTTGGAAAGTTTGAAGCCATAAATAAACGTAGTGGTAACCAAGAGACGAATTCACCGTACCGTACTGGCAGCGGTGAAGTTGTCGTACACAAGAAGGTGAAGGTATAATGCTATCAAGTGGTAAAGTTATCGTACTCAAAGGGATTATTTAAGTTATACACAAATGGGTAAGGTATTGTATGCAATGATGTGACGTCATCATTTTCAAGGAGATGAATATATCGTACTGAAGGAGGGAAAGTTATCGTACTGTATATATTCATTATAATTATTATTAAATTCAATATTATAATTTTTATGTTATGTTCTACTCGTCTCTTAAAAACAACATAGTAAAAGTATATGTTACTGGATGAAAGATCCATCGATTTCTATGGTGTTCTTCTCGCTTAGCTCGGAGGCTTCTCAAAGAACCACCAAAAACGGAGAGAGAGACGCCTGGTTACGTCAACATGAGTCGTGATGAGAAATATGGCGTGCAATGGTCAGCACACCACTACAACTCCCCACACTTATTAACTTAATCCCTAATCTGGTTAGCTTTCATCATATCCTCGTGGTAATGTATTTGTGGTGGTGGTAGTGCTGTTGTGATGGTGGTGTGGTGGTTGTTGGGATGGTGGCGTGGTGGTGGTTGTGAAGTGTTGTATAAAACTGTATGCATAGTATTTTGGTTAAAACTGCCTATGAATTCAACGTTATGAATTTTATTTTACATAGAAAAGTCTTGTAAGATCATCACCTAAAATTGTAACTAAAAACTGTGTAATAGGCCACAACCATCACACATCCTCACAATTGCCTCGTTAACGACACACACACACACACACGATAACCAACATAATAGTCAGTCCACGGGGTTCAGGCTGGATATAATGTGCGAGGGTCTTAAGTGTAAAGTCGAAGTTGGAACTAAATATTGGTGATGGTCTGACTAGTAGCAGCAGTCTTGTGTTAAAATGATAACGTCTTAGTGCAGGTGTTGGACGAACGTTTTCAGGATCCACGTTCGATCCCCTAGTGGGTAAAAAGTGTAATAAAGTGTTTGTTAAAGACTCTATCGCCACACTAGAGATTCCCATCCTTGTCATATAGATTATTTTTCCGTGATTATTTATAGTTTACAAAGAGATCCCTCAATGAAGGACTGTGGGCCCCATTGATAGGGTCCAGTCTGGGGCGGGTCGCGAAGTGTTCTCTTTAATAGGTGAGTCAACACCTTCACCTCTGGCCTTCTGGAGGATCAATACTACATGTACCATCCACACGGGTCCTGCCCATGGCTGAGGTGAGGTAGTTAACTAGCTCCCTCTCACGTCACCTTTAGATATCCAGATGAGCTTCGTCAGGTGTAGGTCTCCCTCATCAACAGGTAGACGAGAGACCCAGGTGAGTTTCGTCAGGTAGGTCTCCCGTTTCTCCTAACAACATAGACAGCCAGGCCCGTCCTTTAGGGGGGGGGGGCAAACAGGGGCGACCGCCCGGGGCCCCGCGCGTGTGGGGGCCCCGCGGGGCCCAGCACTAGACCCAGTGACCTCGGACACATTACCTGTTGACTGGTTAATCTGACCTGACGGCTTACGCCACCATCGCAACCGTGACCTTACCATCCATAGCGACAGTCCCATGGGGGTTGATGGGGGTGGGTTCCTCTGACCGCATAAGCTGACTCCGTATATATATTTTCTGGGGCCCCGCAGTGGCTGAGTTGCCTCGGGCCCCGCACCCTCCTAGGGACGGCCCTGTAGACAGCATTCAAGTTTGACGATTTTATACCAACGTCGAGGGATAAATATTCACACGC